CCTGAATATTCTCAGTTCTTCATTGCCCTGAATATTGCTGGTCTTCTTCCGCGGAATGAACAATGTAATCGGTATGAGTTGACCGCTATCAATTATTTTGGACAGAACTATGAGAGGTCATTAGGATTTCTAATATATCTGAAAGCTTAAAGGCACGTAATCTTTGCTGTCCAGGGACACTCAAGTGGTAATATTGCCGATGAACATTTGTAGAAAGTATTGGTCGAAAAACTACCTGAGCTTGTGTGTATGTAAGTACGAACTTTACATAGCCTGAATTTATAAGTATATATAACTTCGACGTGAGCAGTGAGAAAAGTTGTTATCTTTATCAGTACAGAATATCAATGAGGTAGTGTTTGTATATAATAGAAAAACTCACTTTTTTATTAGATTTTGCCTGTATTTTTTGTGATAAAAATTCTAGTAAGTGGATCAACTTGCGAATGACAATACAATAGTGTGACCTTTGGTTACTGATATTTGTGGCCATCTAGTGTAGTAAATAGTTCACTAAAAATATGTTATTTAGCTGGGGTTGACATTTAGTGTATTGCACAAACATCAAACCCTGGCTAGAGTAAATTTCGCTGAAAAGTCTTAATTTGGCTATATGGAGCCAATGATTATTTATTTCGTGACAATGAGAGAGAATGAATCGAATTTGTCAGCCCTTAAATAAGCAACACGTTTTGGTACAGCAGCTATCGAGATATGGCTAGATAGAGAGAGACTGTTTTGGTTATTATGGTAGTGTCAAGCATGCCAGAGGCAGTCTGTCTGATGCTACTGGTATATATGATAATATGAAGTGTTGAGATATACGAATATGGTAATATATATACCTTTCTTTCTCGTACTCTGATATATCAGATTGCGATTAGAGCACTCTAACCACCTGGTCATGCCGGGCCACTAAATTTTGTGTTTTTCTGTAAGTATTTGCATTTGTGTCTTTATTTTATAAAGGTATTCTTGTTGAAACTGATGTAAAAGGGTTTATCATTGTAATGTACTTTAGTTACATTTTGTTGTATGTTTGATTTGTGTTAAAGTAGATCATTTCTCTAGTATACTACGTATAAAAAGTGGTAGTTATGTTTTATTTTATACTGTAATGTGTTTGTTTAGTTTTTGTTAAATCTGAGTTGCATGAATGTCAGAAGGTTCATGGTGCATGAACTTATTTTTTGTATTTGTTTATGTAAGATTGTTGGACATACTGAAAATGTTTTGAATATCTCAATTGCTTCTTGTTAAAGAATAAGTTCGTATATATAATTATAATTCTTGAGTAATATTATAGCTTTGATTTAATTATTGTAACTTTAATTCTCTGTTAAAGGGTTTTGTTTTCCTGTCTTGTACACTTGACATGCCATGTATGCATTTTTAGGCGCAAGAAGTAAGGTTCTTTAGGAACAAGGCTGATACATGAATTTTTAAATTCTTATATATATTTTATTGGATTTAAAATTTAAAGCTAGGAATGGCTGAATGCGTTCTGAAGGCAAGGGAGATGCATTACTTGGAAAATACAATATTTGCCTTTTCTCTTTTGCCCCCCCAGTGGCACAGCGGTATGTCTGCAGACTTACAACGCTAGAATCCGGGTTTCGATACCCGTGGTGGGCAGAGCACAGATAGCCTATTGTGTAGCTTTGTGCTTAATTACAAATAAATAAATAAAAACCTTTTCTCTTACCTTAGAAAAGTAAACTGCTTGGTTTCATGAAAATAAAAACAAACTTGAGAAATACTTGCTTTTAGAGCAACTAAAACATTTACACGCTCTTAATAATAATCTTATTACATGTACTAATTACATATGGTCAAGGAGTTTGATCCACTGAGATATTTGTGGGATTTCTCTTGGATGATGTTGTTGGAGACCTATCTTTGACCTTGCTCTACTGTCTCTAGTGGCATTGCTGTGTCCAAGTTTATAAATGTTTAAAAGCTAATGTTCTTGTGACCTTCACTTGGGACAATCAGTGATATAGACAGCACCTGTGCCCTAAAGGGGATGACGTTATTTCTTTCTATGATAATTGTTTGTGTTCCTAAGATTTGAAGGATAAGATTTAACAGAATTTGCGAGACAGTTCAGAGTTTCTTAGCAAACGCAGATTTATTTGTTAGGAAGCGATGTGTTATAGTTTTCTAAAAAGAAAAATATAGTAATTTTTCTCAATACGTTTAAAAAAAAAGGTAATGTTAGGGCCGATAGAAAAATAACTGGAAAACGTATTATAAGCTCTGTTCTTAGTAGCTTTAGAAACGAGGCTACGTTAAAAGCAATTATTTATGAAATGGGTGAACAGGCCAGTAAACATTTTCTATCGGGTATGGGTGTAGTAAACTGGTTATTTAGTAGGTTAACCTGGGCGTGAAGAAAAAGATGATTTATCCTTGTCTTCAACTTCATAAGTGAGATTTATACAAGGGTGTTCATAATTTAAATACTGAAGAAAATTAGCTTCATTATTATCTTTACTTTAAATAAATTATACTTTTTTCTCTTACGTAAATAAACACAAACGTCTTATGTTCCGTATATATTTTAGACATATTGTTGGATTTGAATAATTCTTTACTCTTATGTTCCGTATATATTTTAGACATATTGTTGGATTTGAATAATTCTTTACTCTTATGTTCCGTATATATTTTAGACATATTGTTGGATTTAAATAATTCTTTACTCTTATGTTCCGTATATATTTTAGACATATTGTTGGATTTGAATAATTCTTTACTCTTATGTTCCGTATATATTTTTTATCATTTTATTACATATCACCGATGATGGTATTTGCAGATTCCAAAACTTTTGACTAAAAATGCTTGCAACTGTTGCTGTGATTCTTCTGTTTTTAGTCAAATTCTAGTTTTCATAAAGTGAATTTACCGTTAGGTTATCGTGACTTATTAGAATTAAGTAAGTGCTTCAGTTTAAAATAGCGTAGGTAAGAAAAACTGTAGTATTGTATTGTTCAAGATACAATTAGCACACATAAATACGAACTTTTACGAAACTGTTAGTGTGTTACTAGATTAACAATTAGAACTAAAGTAGAACTAGCCAACATTAATTGCAATAATCCTACACATTTGAAGGCGTCAGTGAAGAGGGCTTTCTTACGTGAGAGCAAATGTACATCACAGAGCAATTACCGTCATTAATAACAGAACTCGTGATATTGACGACAAACTCTTTAGTGTCATGCATAGTCATGTATAGTTCTAAGTTCTTGGAAAGTGAACATCTTAGAGCAAATACCGCTATCAACAACATATCTTGTGACATTAACGACAAACTCTTTAGCATCATGCACAGTCATTTATAGCCCTAAGTTCTTGGAAAGTGAACATCTTAGAGCAAATACCGCTATCAACAACATATCTTGTGACATTAACGACAAACTCTTTAGTGTCACGTACAATTCATCTATAGTCTTAAGCTCTTGGAAAGTGAACATCACAGAGCAATTACCGCTATCAACAACAGATCTTGTGACATTAACGACAAACTCTTTAGTGTCACGTACAATTCATCTATAGTCTTAAGCTCTTGGAAAGTGAACATCACAGAGCAATTACCGCTATCAACAACAGATCTTGTGACATTAACGACAAACTCTTTAGTGTCACGTACAATTCATCTATAGTCTTAAGCTCTTGGAAAGTGAACATCACAGAGCAATTACCGCTATCAACAACAGATCTTGTGACATTGACGACAAACTCTTTTAGTATCATGTACTATTCATCTGTAGTCCTAAGTTCTTGGTAAAACAAGATTGTACTTATTGATATATTGTTATCTGGTGTACTTTACATCGCATTTTATTGACTATACATAGTTTGGTAATTTAAAATCATATTTGCTTTGAAAGTATTTTATTTGTAAACGTACAACACTCAGCTTGGAGATCTAGATATCTGTCTCCCGGTGGTTCAATGCTTCACGGTAGACAGAGCGGATAGTCCAATGTGACTTTACTTTAAAACAAACAAACGAAATTTAGATATTTCGAAGCTTAGATAAACTATACTTTGATCTATTGAAATATACCACTTGTATCCTAAAATTATAGTATCAAAAATAATAGAAACAAGATTTTAAGAACTCAGCTACTGTAGTGCTTATATTGCATAGATAATAAATTTCAAGATCAACATTCATGAAGTTTGATTGTAGTTAAGTGCAAAGGAAGTTACCACACGCATCATCTATTGTGAAGATGCTGTTTTTTAAATACAAAATAAAGCTAATAAAACTTTTGAAACACGACAGGTGCAACAACGTTTTTTTAAAGTATGTTTTCTGTGTTTAGTGCAAGTTCTGTTAGTCAAAACCAAATTCCACAAGACACAGAAAGCATCAATAATAAATTGTTTGAGAAACTCAACTATGTATACATGGAAGTATGTATACAAAGAACGTTAATCATTGCGGTGTGAATCTAATGACCAATCAGATGACCAGTAAAGCGTTAGACGAAACAAGTATACAAGAATAGCTAAACAATTAGATGTACTACCACAGGGTCCCCGAAAGTGTTTTGTTTCAAGAGTAAATAAAACAAAAATTAAGAGTAACAAATATTTTTATTTCCTGCTTTTGAAGTTCATATATCATGCTGTGTTGCAGCGTACAGAGTGCATAATTCTTCTCGTGATTCATGACATGCACATGTTTACTGTTGTGGTGACAGTACAAATTGCAACGTTAAGCGTCCCTTATGTGACGTCATTTTAGTGTCGACTGACTGACTGACAGACAACATATTATGATATAGTGGTGCGAAAGGTTAAAACGGGTGACCCCCCCAGGCGTCCTTCGGCCAACAAGCAAAAATGGTAAACAAATACACAGTCTAAAATTGTAAGAAAAACTATAGAATAAAAATACAAAAGCAATAAATAATACGAAATAAAATGAGCACACGAGATAAGTTGATAACAGATAATTGCCCTTTTTTTTCTTATTTTAGAACATGAATCAGTTGAAACAAAGTATGAAAAGCAAAGAACAGAATTCACAAATAGCGTGATAGGGAAAGACTGCGTGAAATAGGGCGAAGAGTGAAAACGCATAACCTGTGTAAATACGTCAATTTTGTGTCTCCTCCCAGAAACGATATGTAATCAATCAAAATCGAAGTGAATGAATAACTTAAGGTAGTAATCAAATCCCTTGCTTTTCCTATCGGATTTGAAATATATTGAAGTAAAACTTATTAAAATAAGCATTTCTACGCGGGATATTGAAAGGATTTTTGCATATGTAGATGGTTTACAACCAAATATTAACAGAAATATACTTACTTCTATATATAAAGGATGTTTGACATAATAGCCTCAGTTTGGGCTGACACAAACAAGTCAGTTTAAATCTAAATTCTGTCGTCTATAGTTCTCTGTGATTCAATAACTTGTGTACACTGCCCCAAATAAACGTGGATTTATTGGTTTTTTGTAACTTAACTTTATTATGAAATCTTATATCTTTTATTATACGCATGCTTTTTATGAGATCTTTTTATACTTTGTGTAGCTTTAATTTATGTGTACTTTATGTCGATAACATCGGTAGTTTTATATTGATTATTGTTTACTGGAAAACTTCAGAAATGATACAATGTTACATGGATGAAATGTCATAAAGACGTAAAGTCACAATTTAAGGTATTAAAGAAAATGTTTAGTTAAAATTTTTAAGGAGTTAATCTTGCATTTTCAATTTATAGAATTACTGTAATTAGAAAAGTTGCTATAATAATAAAAAAAAACATCATATCCATTAACGCGGGTTTATGTGTAGTTATTGTTTTAAAGCGTTTTTTTTTCTACACAAGTTTATCATGTAATCTTTAATCAAAATTTATACATTCAAGTTGCTCGTCTTTTCCCGCTTAGTCATCTTCAAAATGATGACCTTGTTAACTGAAAAATAAGAAGTACTTTGATGTTGTTTAAGAAACTTTATATTAAACAGACTAGCAGTAAAAGTAATATTCATTATTATACTTAACATACTACATCAAATTTTATTAGCCACAGTGACATATCTGTCTTAACCGTGTTAGTGAATATAAAGAATTAATGACGGCCCAGAACCTCAGCAGCTGACAAGATTAATTATACAGGAATTAAAATCAAACAGAAACATAAAGTCAACTCCGAGAATATAAGCTATTGAAATATATGAAAAATATATGTGAAAGATTTCATATATCTTTTCATTCCAATTAAAAATATCATGATGAAAACTCTTATTGTTTAAAGGAGGTTTATTCTCCGGTACTAATGAAATCTCTTTACTTTTTGATTTTTAATATGTTTATTAAATTTACTAAAAAAAAGAGCGTTCAATTATTTTGAGCTTCGGGTTAATGTTACCTTACTTTATTTTTCCATGTTTCAGTTTTCTTTATTTGTTGTTAACCAAAAAGTTACACAATGGGTTGTGTTTTGCCCACAGCGCATATCGAAACTCAACATTTGGTGTTATAAACTCTCATAGTTACGGCTGAACTTATGTTTTAGTACACTATCAACTAATGAACAGGAATTATTCTTTCATTACTTTCTGTATTTTCTATGAAATATTTAAAACGTTTTGTGGAATACAAAAATGATATTCATGAATTCCTTATTAGCTTTTGTTTTACGTTGTAACTGATTTTAATGTTTTAATGTAATGTTTTAATGTTCTTTTGTATTCAAATTTTAATTGTTTATTTCAATTAATTTTGTTCTTAATTATTAATAATCTATCAAAGACAAGCGTAGTTTAAACATGCTTTGTTCGTAATGCTTTAATGTTTAGTAATAATAAAAACATAAATATCTATAGGATTAAAAAGTTTGGTAAATCAAATTTAAAAGCCAGATGAAACCTGGGGATCTGTCTTCCAAGTTTAAGGCCCCCAAGTAGCACAACGATATGTCTGCGGAATTACAACGCTAGAAAACGGGTTTCCATACCCGTGGTGGGCAAAGCATAGATAGTCCTTTGTGTAGCTTCGCGCTTAACTACAAACAAACAAATCTAAGTTTATGAATAAAGGAAAAGGACAGGTGCACTTGTTGAAAAAAGGCCTAGAGTTTTATTAGGTTTCTTTGATTTTAGTATTTATAGATTTCCAAATTTTTGTTGTAACATTGTATGTTTTCTATGAATGACATAATCTTTCACTTACCCTTGCCACGTGGTTAAGAATCCGTTATAGTAATCAGCTAGTCTTATTATAAGCCTGATTTGAAAAGTTGATGTGTGTTTGTATTCCAATGTAAATGCTTAACACTAATTCGCTAATATTTTGTAGGGTCCCAATTTTCTGGTTTTGTTACTTACCACACTTAAGAGATGTGAAATTAGAATACCACCTATAGAATCCAAAAGAGTACCTACGGTCCAGTTTTTTCTTACTTTGAAGGTAAGTTAACAAAACAAGAATAAGATAAAAAGAAAGCAACTGCAGTCCAACGTGAGTTTTGATCACCTTTTTAGGCCTAGAAAGCCTAATTTCTTTCCATCGCTTTTATATATAACTTTAAAAATAATTTTACTTAACAGTAAGTTATAAAGTTTACGTTTCTTTTATCTAATTTAGCAATAAAATTCTAAATAATGATAACTAGAGGTTTCTACAAGAGCGCTGTAGAATAATAAGTATAAGTATCTTTATTTTTGACTGATAAAAATATATTTTCTTTCCTAAAGTATACAATTAAAACCAAACTTGTAGGATTTTCAAGGAAAATCGTCTGAAGTAGCATATAGTAGAATTATTTAACATAAGGATAAATGTGCCTTTTTTAGCTTAGGTATTTGTAAAATAACATACAAAGGCAAAAGGAATGTTTTTAGAATTATTATAAAGTAAGCACTTTTGCAAATAAACCAGAATGGTGCCATCGCACAGCCATAGTAAGTAACACGTTTGAAATCAATTGTGGCACTTACCATATCTTAACTCGGTGAGCGTCACTACTGCATAATGCTCAGAAATGCTTTGAGAATAATTGCATAAGTATACTGCTGATATCGTTGAACAGACCAGTGGGAATCATGAGAAAAGACACAGATAAGGAACGTTTACTACACTAATGGATGAAATGAGGCCGAGAGCGATAATGTTCATAGTTACATGTATGTGGTAGGTGCTAATATTGAATATGCAGCATTAACCCGGCCTACCGTAAAATATGTCATACTTACGTTTCCTGTGGCAAAGTTTGGAGGTAAATGATCAATTGATTCTCATGTTTCATTTGTCTGTCTGGGTTATGATACTATCTTATATTGTAAGAAAACAGGGTGTGATTCAACAAACACACCCTTTTTCAATAACAAGATAAGAATTCATGTCCTTAAAGATGTAAATTTAGACCGAATAATAGTTCGTACTCCTGCCAATTGTGTAAAGATGTGACTTTATAGATACAATGGAAAGTCATGTAAGTGCTATGTGAAAATAAAATAAGAACAACAACTATTAACAAAACCACTTTCATTAAGTTAAGGGTGCTATAGCTATAACATTTTATAAACGTAATTTTTTAGAAGAAAATAACCCTACAAAATGTATACATTTAAATTAAAATTATATCTAGGGAGTATGACTTATTAAATACATTACTGTATAATGTTACATAATTCCATCGTGGGTGTAGAATCACTTATTATGGTGAAGTATGTGAATTAACACTTTTTAGGATGTAGCTCCTGTATCAGTACTTCACACTCAGAAAAGTGTAAAATCATAAGTTTTTTTATTGTACATACTATAGTTGAGGCGTCACAACACTGCGAAATGGTATATTTACTTTGTAATCACCCTATATAAACGTTTATGATGTCTAAAAGCTATCCAGTAAAGTTTATCTGTAAACCTTTTATTTTGCAGAATCCCATTAAAATATCTCAAATACTAATTTAATTTGAGAAAGAAAATAACCTATTTGATTTTACTGTGGTTATGAGACAGGGTTATGAAGTTTGTGAAGCAATGTATGTTGTTCAGCACTTCATATTCTTTTAGTCTGTGCAAAAACTAATTAATTTAGGGTCATGAAATATAACTGTTGTTATATAGTTTTATTTCAATCGTTATCTTCCAGTTTCACCTTTAATGATCTTACGTCTATATGAACCCAGCGTACTTTATTCCCTCTGATAAGACATGAAGATTGAGAAAAGAAAATACACACAATATACATTAATTATATTTTTGAGCACCAAGCTTGTTCTCATGATATCTTGATTAATATAATTGTATTGATATACATGAACGCCATACATCTTTTTTTTACGCATTCTTAGGTTACTAAATTGGGGGTTTAAAAATCTAGAGAAATCAAGCACTATAAAACAGCACTGAAAATAAAGCAAGTAGTTAATGGTGTGAAAAAGTCGTTAATGAGTTCAGGCGAATTTTTTAATGTCCGTCTTTTTTTTTCGTTGTAGGCAAGGGAGAAAGTTCCTGGAACAAATTAATTTAGGAACGACTTTCCAAGACGACCAACAAGAGAAATAAATAAGGCAATATGACGATAAATTAAAAAGAGCTAAATCTAATATAAAAATAAAGGATTACAACTATTAAACAAAAGCTCACTATACAAAATATTATACACATTTTTTTCTATGCTAGTGACGCATTTTTCACTTTACCAATAATAAATAATAATCATATATATATATATATATATATAGATATACATACATATGTATACACATATATAGATATAGACATACATACATACGTATACATATATATATACGTATACATATATAGATACATACGTATACATATATATATACATACATACGTATATATATATACATACATACGTATACATATATATATACATACATACGTATACATACGTATTTATTTTTATAAATTTAATATTTCAGGACATAATGTAATTAAGACTGTCAAAAATATATCAAATTTCTGAAGGAAAGATAGTTTGTAACATTATACATAACACTAAAAGCTCTGAAGCTTCCAAGTAAGTTTGATGTCCAAAATGAATTATCAGAGATAAGTTACTTAAACATAAGCATATTCTAGAGGCAAGAATAACCAAAACATGTAATCTATTTACTTCTTGACAGAGAATATTGCTACTGAAAAATAATGTAAGCTTACGTAGGAATAAATTGTCGCTATTAATCTTTGAATGGTATTCAAAGCAAGCAGTCTCATTAACTGTATCATCTGATAAAGAGGGATTTATCTTGAATGGGCAGTGCCATACATTTCAACGTACTGCACTCCACGAATCTCGCTTATCTAATGCCAAAATCAAAAGGAAAGCGTACTGGTAATTAGCACTATAGAAACAACCATATTAAGCGCATGTCTTTTAGACATTGATAAATACTATATTATGGTTATGCAAGAACGTTTTATGTCTTTTGTTCCCAGTTGGTGAGAGTAAATGTCACGCAATTTCGGGGATGTCAGCTACTATTTTTCAAAAACAGTATTTCTCTACATGTAACTTTATGTTCTTACCTGCTCTAGCTTGGTAGATTAAGGAACCTGTGAGTTTAATTGTAACACTCGTACCTATTTTAAAAGAAAATTCAAAATAATTGTGATAAACTTTATATAGAAATACATTTTGATTAATAATACGAATAATATATTGTCATATCATGCTTAGTACGTTCGAGCAATGACATTTTAAAATAATATTTCGATCATTAGAAGTAAAAACTATGATACAGATATATTGCAAAATAGGAAAACCATACTTTGCAAATTTGTTTCCAGCTAAAATCATAACTTTTATGAGGTTTTTTGTGTAATATTTGATTTTAATGTAATACATAATAACACGAACGTAATTATACGAAACATTAATAAATGTTTGGGAATCTTCAGAATTCCATCTTTAGTTGGCTAGGGATACAGACATACACAACAGTAATTATACCAAAAATGTAATATACAACAGATGACATTAAACAATCTGAATACAAACAAAAACAGGAGAAAATAAACAGTCTGTAAATGTAAATTAAATCACACATATATTAAAACAGATTTAAGTCAAATAAAGAATGTATATAATTCAGATATGGAAGAATAGTTTTTTGGAATTAAGCACAAAGCTACACACAATGGGCTATCTGTGCTCTGCCCACCACTGGTATCGAAACCTGGTTTCTAGCGTTGTAAGTCCGCAGTCATACCGCTGTGCCACTGGAGTGCGACTAGTTTTTTTATGAATAATGTTGGTTTTATCAGAAGTTCGGCTTCATATTTAACTGTTGAGAGGGTTTTAAAGTTAAAGAG